AGAACAAAACACTGCCCGATCCCGCACCAGCTCCATGATCCCTGCTATACTTGAGCCCACAGTCGCAGCCGTGTCAGTCCATCTCGTTGAAGGCCTTCCCCTCTTTCGTCATCCCTCCACCTTGCCAAGCATGACATCCTTTACCAGGGAACAAACAGTCGCTTCTGACAACATGACCAAAGTAGGTGAGACGAAGTCTGGCCATTCTCGCTTCTAAGGAGCATTTCAGCTGTACTACCTCCAGGAAAGATGTGTTAGTTCTTTTAGCAGTCCATGGTACTTTCAGCATTCTTCGCCAGCACCCCAACTCAAAAGCATCAACTCTTCTTCCGTCTTCCTCATTCATTGTCCAGCTCTCACATGCATACGAGGCGATGAAAATATCATGGCTTGTGTCAGGTGCACCTTAGTCCTCAAGGAGACATCCTTGCTCCTCAGCACTTGAAACAGTTCCTTTGCAGACGACCTGCCCAGTGCTACATGTCCTCTAATGTCCTGACTGCTGCTTCCATTGGCATCGATTGTAGAACCAAACAATGTGAATTCTTTGACAACCTCAATCTTTTCTCCATTTATCGTGATGCTGCTTATTGGTCCAGTTGTGAGGATTTTTGTTTGCTTTATATTGAGGCGTAATCCATACTGCAGACTGTATTCTTCAACCTTCATCAGTAAGTGCCTCAAGTCATCCTCATTTTTGGCAAGCAAAGTTGTATCATCAGCCTATCTCAGGTTGTTAATGATTCTTCTCCAATCCTGATGCCACGTTTTTCTTCATGTAGTCCAGCTTCTCGGATTATTTGCTCAGCATATAGATTGAATAAGTATGGGGAAAAGATACAACCCTGACACACTCTCTTCTTGATTTTAAACCATGTACCCTTGTTCTGTTCGAACAACAGCCTCCTGGTCAATGTACAGGTTCCTCATGAGTACAATCAAGTGTTTGGGAATTCCCATTCTTCTCAATGTTATCCATAATTGGGCATGATCCACACAATCAAATGCCTTTGCATAGTCAATAAAGCACAAGTAAACATCTTTCCTGTATTCTTTGCCTTGAGCCAAGATCCATCTGACAGCAGCTATGATATCTCTTGTTCCACATCCTCTTCTAAATCCAGCTTGCACCTCTGGAAGTTCTCTGTCAATATACTGCTACAACAGTTTTTTAATTATCTTCAATAAGATCTTATTTGCGTGTGATATTAATGATATTGTTCTATAATTTTCATTCTGTGGGATCCCCTTTCTTTGGAATGGGTACAAATATGGATCTCTTCCAGTCAGTTGGCCAGGTAGCTGTCTTCCAAATCTCTTGGCAAAACCGAGTGAATGCCTCCAGTGCGGCATCCGTTTGTTGAAATATTCCAGTGGGTATTATGTCAATTCCCAGAGCCTTGTTCTTCGCCAATTCCATCACTGCAGCTTCGACTTCCTCCTTCAATACCATTGGTTCTAGATCATATGCCACCTCCTGAAATGGATGAGGATCAACCAGTTCTTTTTGGTACAGTGACTGTGTATTTCCTCCATCTTCTTTTGATGTTTCCTGCATCATTCAATATTTTGCCCATA